AAACCCTCTCCTTTTCATTTCCTTCTACCAGGACTGTTTCACTTCCTCGAATCCAGAGGCTGGAGGAGATCATGGAAGTGTAACAGGCAAAATACCACCCAAACCTCTAGCTCCAGTTCAATAGGACCTCGTCAGGTTCACACCAAGCACTTCGGCGACGCTGGGGCGTAGATCGGACTTTAAAAGAACCCCAAAGAACTACGGTATCTGACACCTGATCGAGCAAATGGCCTCCAAGTCCAACGAGGGTCCTGCCCAAAAGTGGCCGGTTTCAAAATTAGTTTGGTTCCGAATTAATACGTAGCCGTACGATTCATCACGCAGAGGCCGGCGGAATATCTCAATATCTGGTCATAGTTTTAGAGTCAGTTGTTCACGCCAGGATATTATTATCATTATCATTACTATCATTATCATTATTATCATTACGCAAATGGCTAGAAATATTTATTTGAATTAGGGGGGATAAACTGTGTTGGGTAGAACCATGAGATAACCAAGAAACTGCAGGAACCCCCCCCCCCTTTGAAGATTATAACTCAGAGTAAGCCGTTGCAGAGGCAGACAGACAAATAATAGACAGACAGACGAACAAACGTATTCCGTCTGTAAGTGCTTGAGGTGCTGACATTGCTGTCTTCAGAGGCACCCCCAGAACTGAGTCATAACCTTGGGAGAATTGGCGTGGCGGGGCTCGCAAAGAGAGCCGTCTTTTGTCCAAGTCTCTGTCCGACTTTACCTGAACTCCGGCGGGTGTTAATAGGGCTGGACTGTGCCCAGACATCTCTTTTTTAAAAAATTCCGTCCGGCAGTTAACTGTCCCTTTTATGTTTCAGAATTCTTCAGTGGGGAAAAGACGGGGCGAATTGGGTGTGTTTCTCTGTCTAAGTGCGTGGTGCGTGTCTGTCCCAAAAACTCATTATAGGTTGTAATCCAACCGGATGGGAAGGGGGAAATTCCTTCCCCCCCTCCCGCACTTTACAAACCGTCCATAAATTTTATAACAGGTAGTTAAAAGTTACGACGAGGAAGGAACCGTCACAACAGTGGCTCTGGAAGACAATGGGACTCCCCGTTTTCCAGGGAGAAAAAAGGGTCCATAAAGAGAACAGGACATTTTTTTCCATCTCTTCACCAAGCGCCTAACCTGTCCGCCAGGTTCTCATCCCTGGCGAAGGGTCGCGTTTCCCTCCTTTCCTTTTTTGGGGGAGGGGGGGTTATCTCTGCCTCATTCCCTTCAGACGACTCTCCTGCATTACCAAATGAGCCGCCGGCCCCCGTCACTGAGGTGATGTGGATTTCACCCACCTCGCATCTGGAGGCGGGAGGGCGACTGGAAAGTAATGGAACGGCGACCCAACTTTCCCAAGCCGACAACCAAATATCTAACTTGAAATTGAGAACGAAAACGAGAGGCAGAGTGAGAAACAGAGGGCGACGGACGG